CGCACTCATTATAGTACTGACATACATGGGAAACAACTTCCACATTTCTTTTCATTCCCGTCTCCTTGCAATTCTCCTGCTATAGTTATGTTGTTAGCTGTATCATCGTGGCCTTTATATATTTACTTTGCATAAGCATTCTGTCTTTTATCCTACCTTTGGCAGCCTCTTTCTCAAAGGTCGAGTGTCAGAAAAGTTATGCATGATTTCTCTATGCCGATGTAAAGCCCTTTCTTTTCTTTAGCTGTTATTTCTCTCATGAGTTTCATAAAAAATAATGTGTGAATAATGTAATATATACTATGAAAACTTTACATATATACATATATATATTTTTTATCTTGTATATACTTCATATTTATAAGGATGGAATAAATTTTATTTTATTAGAGATTTGCGTCAGTAAAGTACTGAAAATTTTATTGCCTCGCATTATTTCCGTTATGTTTGTTGCTCTCGTTGAATTATGCATCATTGCTCTCGCGCGAGCGCGCGCAGCTCATCTCCAGGGTATGAATGTCGTATATGAATTACTCGGTGAAACGATATACTGTTAGATATATACTGTTAGAGTCAACCACATAGGTAGGGTGCGAAATGAAACGCTGCTGGATTAACCCGAGAGCCATTGTCTCTATCATTCACGACGCGCGGTGTGTCAATTCTGCAACAGGAAGCTACACAATAGTTCTATACTGTATAGCTTCCGTGCCACGCGGTGATCTATGATTCAGAAGAACAAAAAAAAGAGTACGAACACTCAGCGCTGTGTGCTGCACGCGTGAAAACGCGTTTGTCAGCTGTGACGTATGAAAAAAGTAAATGACGTTACATGCGGTATGCGTCACACGGTAAATGCTGCGCGTGAATTGTGCAAATCGGCCCCGAACTCCATACGTTATCGAAAAAAAAAAAAAGAAAATTACGTTAAAGAAAGGTGCAGCTTGTGTGTAGATACTTTCCACGCGCTGAAGGTTACGTGCATGTGTCACAGCGCGGAGTTATACACATGTCTATCGCAATCAATGTATGATAATTATTCAGCATAAAAGAAGACGTTCGGCGAGATTAAGACGCACCTGCCCTCTGAGCTGACACATCGGTGCAACGGCGTGTAAAACGACACGCTTCGGTTTCGCTTTAAAATTTTTTTTTGCGCTCTAGCACGCGCTCCGCGGCAGCAGTCTCGACGTTGCATTATTATATCGGAGAGTGCCATCACAAAAGCAAATTGCATTGCATTCTGCGAGTTCCTATCTTTTGACGAGGGAATTTTAATTATCTTCCCCTCTCATGAATAATAAACTTATAGATTAGAATAGCATCTCGCGCTGGATTCCGCGAACTTAATATTAGATGCGTTTACATGATTACGTTATTATAATAAATATTAATGGAAAAGAGTAACCAAAAAAAAAAAACGATAATTAGACAAATTGTAAATTCGTACTGCGAAGTTTGTTAATAGGCTACTTAGCCGCAGGCGTGACTGTGCCGAGCGAGAAATTAAATTACGTCCCTCTTACTTACATGCATCTAGGTCATATGAATTGAGGTCTATTCGCTATAATTCTCAAGGCAGAAGTGTCTTTATTGCGCCATTATTATTCGATTCATTGATTGACAAGTTTATACGATTGGCATTATTTCGTTGATGACTTCGTTATTGCTTTGTCCTTTGTCACATCGTAGAATCGAATCTAGCTGCATTTTGCTTCTTAAGATGCGATCCACTTGACGCTGCAAATGCTTTAAGTATTCTTTAATTGGTCTTTAATTCGTAAAATTCTTTCTCTTAGATCGCACCTTTAGATATATGCCGTGTATTTAGATCACAGTCTGCCGATCTGGCTGGAATTTTAACAAAGAATAATAACTTATTCATGTGAAACTTATACCGTTTTCTCTTCTCACTCTTGTTGATTACGGAGAGAGAAAGAGAGTAGCTATCTTTAGTCAGATGAATAGGATTTATCTTATGAATAAAATATTACTCGTTGCGTGATAGAAGAACAGATAGAAGAGTCTCGATAAGAATTTATCTGTGCTACTAGAAATCAGGTGAGAACTGACTGCGGCATGATGAGAATCTCGATTTACAGCTGGTACTTGGCTGGTACTTGCCTATACGGAGTTCATTCGAAATCTCTGACGCGCTATTCTTCCGAGGATCTCGCGTCGATGATTCAAAACCGGTTCTAAAAATTAAATCCCAAGAAAGTTTCATAAGCGAGGAAGAGATTTTAAATCGCGTCGCGCACTTTTTGTCAGTAGAAATCTGAATTCAGCGAAGTTTACATCGAGGTTTCGACCTCCCGTGCATCGCGCTTTCGTCCGCTTTCATCCTCCTCGCATCTTTCGAAAATATCGATGATCTCACGTCGAAATAGACGATCTCTCGGAATATTCGGACGAATGAAAGTGTGATAGACACAGTATTTCTATTGCTATTTCCTTCTGCTGTGTCGTCTGTCGTGGCACGCTGTTCACAAAGCGTGTCTGCGACTGGTACGCGGTCGCACGCGGCTTACACACGCGCGAACAGTGAGTTGAACGCACACGCACCCACACCGTCGAGACGCCGCCGGTCAATTCAAAGCCCGCGTGTATGTGTTACGCTGACTAGCACACGCGAGTCGTGAGAGAGAGAGCGCAAGGCCAGGACTGTATACCCAGGGAGTGTATCGCGGATCGTGGCGTTTCTCGCAGGAAACGCGGCGTTTCCTCTCTAAACGTTAATTGCACCCTCTAATTCCCTTCGTGTTGACTGATAATTAATCGCGAGATTACCGGCCTTCGCTAACGCGAAATAATGCAAATCAGATGCCGGGCTTTCTTGTGTGTGCTTGCTACAGCTTTATTATTAAATTATAAATGCAAACACACACGAATGTACGTGAACTCTTTTTCTACGTTTTTGTAATTTTCATTGTTAACTTTTATGTATATACACAGAAAATAAAAAGACTCTGATAAAATCGAATTAACTGGAACGCAGCTTAAATATAATTTATAAGTATTTGAATATCAATACGTACGCTTTTTTAATTTTGAGAATGTCAAACGATTTAGAATCTTTCAGTGGTAAAAATAAGAAATTACGTCTTCGATTTGTGCTTATCGCTTATTTCTGATCCGCAATCATATACAGAAGAAAAAAGAGTGCGAGAGAGAAAGAGAGAGAGAGAGAGAGAGAAGCGTATAGCGTGTGCCCGGCTGTACCATTCGCCGCCTTCTCGCGCGATCACGATTTAAGCGTGACGCAATCCCCGCGCGTCCCTTATATAGTCCCCAAGGAAATCATCTTCGTGGATCCCATGGTACCGCCTGTTACATTGTTAACGGTCTGTCTCGTGAGAATACGTGGAAATAATACGTCGAATATTGAACCAGTCATTAGCGTCGTCCCGCGACTCCGATCGCAGAAATTATGATCTATCTATCAGCACCTGATCCGCAGTCGCGTCAAAAAGCGAAGAAACAAGCGAGATTCAATGCATTGAGACACGCACACGTACGATAATTTAATTGGCGTAAGGATTTTTAGTGAAAGATCACGTAATGTATTTCATTATTCAAGTTTCGCCGTTTTGTACGACTGAATAATTTCAAAATTCACAGACTCAGAAATTAATAGACCTCCAGCAGCGACGGAAGCAATTGCATGAGTGCGTATATGCAAATTGAATTGTAAAACGTTCTTCCGCATACTTTACACGCCAATTAGTGCTATTCCGCGAAATTAAACCGAAAGTTTATCCGTATTCTGAATCACCGGGAGAAAAATATGGTCACCTTTCAGAACTTGAGGGTATTATTAACAGTTCGGAGTTTTAATTAGCAAAGCATTTATTATAAGTTCAACGCATTAATACAATATACTTATACATTGTGTTTAATTACAACGATTATTGTGTTTTAAGTGACAAATTGCATTAACGCAACTTGCACAGAGAACAGAACATGGCTAATTGTTCTTGATTTGTAGAAGGGTGTGTGAGTGGATATATTCCCCCTCTAAGTATCACGTGCACGATACGGCAGGATGACGTAAGGATATGCGTGCCACACGATAGCGCGCGTTCGTTCCTTTTTCATTATCTCAAGTTGTATTGTATCTGCAAGCATTGGAGTGGTTGGCAGGGTATTAGAGTAGTTAGGCGAAACAGTGTCAGGAGGGATAATTCGCTTAGGACAGGATTTTATATCAGCCTCGTATTCGAATGCGTAACGTTTCATTTTATTTTTCTAGTTTTATAAATATAATTAACTAATGGCCATTTTTAAGAGACCATTAAAGAGCTACATTTGGCCGTTGACAAGTTAAATTTTCGCACGTAAATTTACAATGATTGCGTAATGGCTATAGGGAATAGTAGGTTTATTTGCCATGGCCGGAGTGTTAATAAGCTTAAATTTCCCGAGGTATGTTTTCATAATAAGTAGAGGCATATGCGTGCAACACGCACGTCCATGTTGATGCAATGCATGGAATTCGCCGAGTTATTTATAAAACAAAGATTTTTTGTATTTTTGGTTTCTCACTAAAAAAAAATCTTTGCTAGTTTTTTTAAATCAAATATCAATATGGCGCAATCGCATATCATATATACTGTTAAGAACAAAGTTGAATAATGAATACCACTTCGCGAACATGATCAATTATATTAAGTAAGAATATAATTAATGAAAGTATTTATGTATATTTAATTCTTTAAGAAAATTACTTTATCCATATATTTTTAGAATTTTACTTTTATTAAATTAGACAATTATTTCCTTTATAATTATTTATTTTAATGAAATTTAGTGATTTTTTAACGTTAGACTATAGAGTCGATTATTTATCGTATAAAAGTGATTTATAATATTAATATTTATTGGGGCGTTCCTGAAAGAAAGAGAGATATAAAAATTTCGATTCGATGATAAAACAAAATTTAAAAAGAAAATTTTTACACGTTACACTCCTGGATTAACCGAAGTATCAAATGTTGTAGCAAGCTTGAAGACTACATCCGGCCATAGTGAGGCGTCATGAAGGAAGTCCAGGAGCAGCAACAGCCCGAGTCTATGGAATCCAACGAGTCGGTTTCCGGCTCGAACGAATACGCCTATCGACCGCTCACAACGAAGCACAGAAGGGCTGGGAGTACGGGAACAACCGGCGATGAGGAATACACCACAGATGAGGATGAGCTCTACACGGACGAGACTGATTGTGCCACGCTGCATCCACCTCATCCCATTCTTAAATCGGACCTCGCGAGGGCAGCTACGGATCTCTTCGGATACGCCACGAAATGCGAGGACGAGGACGAAGAGCCCACTAGTCTATTCGACGAGGATGACAACAAGTTCCTAGATGATAGGTGCGTTTAAGCATTCATTTTTTCCTTCCTATCAAAATTGCTCCCTTACGAAGTATGTAGGTATTTAATTGATTTTTTGGAGATGCACCGCGTAAAATTTTGTTTCTAATTTGAGAGATGTGCTCAGTAAAAATTTTTTACTTTAAAATAAAGTAATTGTAGTAACGAAATTTAGTCTTCCCTCTTAATTTTTTCATCGAATATGCAGCAGCAGCAGCAACAGCAATGGTTTTGCTGCGACTGCAAAATTCTTGTTCTTTGCATACAAAAACTGCACGGGTGTTATATTCAAGATTCTCAATCGATATTCGGGGATGTCGTATATCATTAATTATAGTATTATTAGTTATAGTAAGTATTATTGTTTATATTTATGTTATTGATGATCATAATTTGTATATTTCAGTTCCAACTCAACCAAAACTACTCCACTATTCACGTACAACGAAAAACTACAAGGTGTCTTGTCGCGACATCGAAATCCATCGGAAGAGAAGAAGCCCGTACAGCTCTGTGAAAAGCTGAAATCTCACGAACTGGAAGTCTCGGAATCTCAAGCTCAACGTACGAAACCTTTGGATTTTCGATTGAACGACGTTGAGTCTGCGGCAAAGGCTAGCGATGAGAAGCCCGATACGGATTTGAAAAAGAACAATTCTCTCGAAACATCCAAGAGACTCTCCCTTCCTATAGATACGCCGGTAATTTCACTCTTCGCCTTATCAGACTTTAAATAACTCATCTCATAGAAATAAGAAATTAATATAAAAAAAAAAAAAACTATGAATATATATGTATATACATCAAATATAGATTATATTAGAAACAAATTTACTAATATTTAAATGTGATTAAATGTAATGTTTGTGAAAATTATTTCAGCCGGAAGAATCATCGAAGCAAGAAGTATGCGTTCCTAAAAAGTCTAACGGCCCGCCGTCGCCTACCACTCTGCAATGGGGAAGAGCAGTGGCTGAGGTAAAGGAGCACGCGGTGGCGAAGCTGCAAGAGGAACTTAAAAGGGCTCATGAAGAATTAAAATTGAAGGATGAGGAAGTGGCTAGACTTTCTCGGATCAGACAGGATGTAGAGGCCGAGCTCGAAGAACTCACTGCCAGTCTCTTTCAAGTTAGTCATTAATTTCGTTCTTGTTAGAGAATTATAGAAACTACACATATTACAAAAGTAACAAAATTAAATTAAGGGACGAGATATAATAATATATAATGCTAAAATGTAAAAAAATAAAATTATATGTTGCCTATATGGGATTTTGGAAATTGCCAAAGCTTAACAGAAAAAAAATTATTGTCTTTAAAAAACATTATTGTCTTCGATATTTTGAATTTAAATAATGAGTTTAATGATTATATTAGATATTATTTTATAAAGAAATTAAATTTTGTTAAAAAAATACTAGGTTATTTACAAAATGTATGTTCAGGAGGCACATAACATGGTTCGAGAAGCTAATGTACGTCAGGCGACGGCGGAACGTCTTCTGGAAGAGAGCCGCATGAAATCGGAAGTGCTCGCGGCTGAAGTAGCAGCTTTGAAAACTTTGGTGCTCACGTCTACACCGTCAAGGCCCAATCCCCATCTGCATCCTCAAATCGACACGAAAGGACGCGTTAGTAACGGCGAGGAGAGCCAGCAAGGACTCTTTACGAAGAAACATCGAAGGTAATGGATAATTTTTTTTTCAAATCTATAATTTTTTTTAAACTGTCGAGTGCACTAACGAGTGCTTTGAATATGAAATAATAATAAATAATAAATTTAAATAATACTTTATAAAGTTTGTGCATTTCTACAGCGTTCTTCGGTAATTTAGAAAGTGTTCTTACAACAATAGAAAGTAATTAATATAATAAAATATTTAAAATCAACTTAAAAATAAAAATTAAACTATCTTTTAAAATGTGGAATAAAAAAACAAATATTTTTAAATTATATAAAGATATAAAAGTCATTGCGTTTATTTTTGAGGAGCTAATATAAAATTAACAATAAAAATAATTTGTATTTCTGATGCAGATCGCCGTCGCATTTTAATTTAAAATACGGCCGAGAAAATTCGCCGCCTGAGTCGCCTGTAAAGGAACAAAGGCCGCCTTTGCCGACTGACAAGGAGACCCTCGAGAGGGATTGGAAACGTGATCGTGAGAAGGAAAAGGAAAGGGAGTGCAAGGACTTTGGTCTGGAAGTGGATCCGAGGTTGCATACGGAGTTTCTCAGATGGAAGGCGAACCCTTGTGTCGACAAGAGCGATCCCTTCGTCGCGAGGGTATTCAGGGAAGATATCGACCTCTGCTTGGATTTCTCGAATAAAGAATTGGGAGCCAAGGTCAGGCAAGCCGTTTTGGATGGCATCATATTTATCGAAGCGGTCAGCGACAAAACGAAACTCGCTTTTCCTAAGTATGTTCTTGAGCTTCTCATTATATTAAAATACTTAATGTTTTTCTTCACATTCTTTATTTCTTCATAAAAGTCGGAGACTGCAAGATTTTATGTCTCATTTAATGAATAATCAAATATTACATTTCATAATTATTACATTGTAATATTTTCATAATGCTTTTGATGCATTAATATTTGCTGTAACAATAACTGAAAAATTACATGTTATATTTATTTATAAAATAGAAGATGGTTCTAAAAAATTTTTGTGGACGTGAAACAGTGATAATATTCGATTCTAGAAAATGTGCGCTGTTGGAGGCACCGCGACAATGTCACTATCGCATGCGCCTCGGTGATCAAGAAAATCAGTGGCACTGCATTTCGCAGATCTGCCGCAATCGAGTAAGTTTTACGTATAATTATTATTCAGATTTATTTCAGAAAGCTTAAAAAATTCTATTTTGTAAGGAAATATGTATTTTCTTGCAGATTATAGCAGTGTGCGACTTTCTTAATTATCTGAGATACGTCGAGCGTGGTCTTGTCAAAAGCTCAGGTATGTCTTTCAAACTCGGGTGGAATGTCTGAAGTACAATAATAAATAAATCTTATTACAGCACATAATAAACTAGCTATAGTTTAGCAATTTAGAAAATTTTACACATTTTTTATACTTATATAATTTTACAAAATTTATAAAAAGAAGAGTTTTGAACAAATATACGATTTTTTTATATGTAGTTCTTGAGTTAAATATTGGAAATTATAAGGAAATATTAAAAGATAGAAGTAATTTCTATTTTTCTGCTAATAATTAATTGAATTGATATTAAATGAATTAATAAGAAATTTATTAATCTGCAGTTCACGATGTTTACTGGGAGATCACGCGGCTGAGAAAGGAAATGGTTTTCGCACGATTGGGTCTGGCATTATCGTCCTGAGGTTCGCGTAGGCGGGATGTCATCTAGTCTCGAATTAATTCGAGCCAAGAGTTTATTGCTTGAAAATAGAATCGATCCGTGAATTGTGCAGAATAATTTAGCGACGCTCTCGTCAATCATCGGCCTTTTGTGCAGTGAGGGGGAGGGTGCAATGTTGCAATATATATCTTTGGATATATATATATTTGAAGTCTCTCTAATTCTCTTGTAAAGTAATTCTGACGATAATATAACGCTGTTTCTAAGAAATTTACGTGCCGTTTAGAAAACTGTAATTTTATAACCGTAAAAAATAGATCTAATTTATTGATGGACCTTCTGTTTTTTTTTAAAGTGTGATTATAATACAATTAATTTACATGCAACATTTACACCAATTAATTTATATTTTTTAAGAAGAAAACTGTTCAGAATTAGATTTGATATTGATTTTGCAGTGAAATGTCAATTCTTCTGCACGTAAATTTCTTCGAAATATTGCCGAGATAGTGCCGCCTACGGCAGGTTCTAGATTTAATTATTTGCGAACAAGCTGTAAGACGGCAATGGAGCTGATTACGAGGCTGTGAATGATCTTGACGTGCGGATCAGACATTGTCGATGGCTCTTCTAAACGAGGAATGTAAATAATAGAAAAGATTTTTGAGATATTGTCTCATGTTTTTTGAGACGTTTAATTGAACGTCGTCGAATTTATTGTTAGACTCATGCGAATTATTACGACTCAGATTCGTTGATTCCATGAGATAGTTGATGGTTAACAATTATACTATACATATATTGAGATTACTTCGCGTCGTGGTTTGGTATTAACATCGAAGAGAAGATAAAATCAGAAGATGTTTAGCCAATTATTTATATTTTTGTTTTTGTTACGGATCAGTTTTTTTATTTGCCGTCACGTGTCGGATCGTAGTGATTTTGTTACTTTGTTGTGTTAATTTATCGATATTATACGTTGTGTTAATTTGACTAATGGCTTCCATAAAAAAAAAAAAAATATATATATATATATATATATATATATATATCAGCCAGTGATCGTATAAATTTATTAAAATTTTAAAATATTTGTACCACCGAAAATATAAAATCGTCATCCAAACTTCCGATTAGTTGATCCTCATTGTTGAATCACGATGTGACTATGTATACTTTTGACATTATGATTCATAGACAAAAGCTGCATCTGTGTGGACCATACGAATCATCAAATTCTTACAATTTGTGTAAATAGAACTTTTTCGGAATTTCTCTCGTGACATGTAACGACTCTATACGTCTACATCATAACGCGTCCGGTTATACGGAACATATTTCTACCTTATAAATATCGACGTCTGACGTATTGCAAGTGTATATTCTTTTATAGAGATTACATTAATACGTTAATCGAGACTGACATTTTGTGTCAGTCAATGTATCTTCTGGTTGTATATACGAATATATATTTTGTTTACTGCAAAAGACTATTTGCTATTCTCGAAATTTTGAATCATGCAGATATGCTAATTAATTTTTGCCCGACTTGAATAATCTTTGCGATAATTTTCTGGTTAATTTATTTAATTGAAGCATCGAAACTGTAAAAATAACCGATATGGGTAGTTATTTCGGCAATATGAAGATTTGGTAAGATTTTTATCTCGATTTTGTTGTCTTCCATCATATATCGCGTTCGATATGAGATGTGCGAAAGAAAGCGGTTATGTGATTGGTTCGCCATTTCCAATTATGCCAAACGTACATACAACATGTGGCCAACGACCCAAGGAGAACAGAAAGATCAAAATGACATCAAAATGATATCAAAATAATATCAAATTTTAGTTTGTCAAAATGATGTCAAATTGCAAAAATTTTTGATGTAAGATCGGAAGAGCACA